AGTAGATAGTAAGGAAAGATAAGTAGATAGTAAGGATAGATAGGATAGATTAGATAGATAGGATAGATTAGATAGATAAGTAGATAGTAAGGATAGATAAGTAGATAGTAAGGATAGATAGGATAGATTAGATAGATAAGTAGATAGTAAGGAAAGATAAGTAGATATTAAGGATAGATAAGTAGATAGTAAGGATAGATAAGTAGATAGTAAGGATAGGCAAGTAGATAGTAAGGATAGATAAGTAGATAGTAAGGATAGATAGGATAGATTAGATAGTAAGAATAGATTAGATAGATAAGTAGATAGTAAGGATAGATAAGTAGATAGTAAGGATAGATAAGTAGATAGTAAGGATAGATAAGTAGATAGTAGGGACAGATAAGTAGATAGTAAGGATAGATAAGTAGATAGTAAGGATAGATAAAAAAGATTAGATAGATAGGATAGATTAGATAGATAAGTAGATAGTAAGGATAGATAAGTAGATAGTAAGGATAGATAGGATAGATTAGATAGATAGGATAGATTAGATAGATAAGTAGATAGTAAGGGTAGATAAGTAGATAGTAAGGATAGATAGGATAGATTAGATAGATAGGATAGATTAGATAGATAAGTAGATAGTAAGGATAGATAGGTTAATAGTAAGGATAGATAAGTAGAAAGTAAGGATAGATAAGTAGATAGTAAGGATAGAAAAGTAGATAGTAAGGATAGACAAGTAGATAGTAAGGATAGATAAGTAGATAGTAAGGATAGATAGGATAGATTAGATAGATAAGTAGATAGTAAGGATAGATAAGTAAATAGTAAGGATAAATAAGTAGATAGTAAGGATAGATAAGTAGATAGTAAGGATAGATAAGTAGATAGAAAGGATAGATAAGTAGATAGTAAGGGTAGATAAGTAGATAGTAAGGATAGACAAGTAGACAGTAAGGATAGATAAGTAGATAGATAGTATAGAGAAGCAGGTAGTAAGAATAGATAAGTAGATAGTAAGGATAGATAAGTAGATAGTAAGGAAAGATAAGTAGATAGTAAGGATAGATAAGTAGATAGTAAGGATAGATATGTAGATAGTAAGGATAGATAAGTAGATAGTAATAGATACGTAGATAGTAAGGACAGATAGATAGGAATGGATAGATAGGAAAGGAAAGATAGATAGGATAGAAGATAGGATAGATAGATAGGAATGGATAGATAAGATAGATAGGAAAGATTAGATAGATAGGATAGATTAGATAGATAGGATACATTAGATAGATAGGAAAGATAGAAAGATTAGATAGATAGGAAAGGTTAGATAGATAGAAAAACAAAGATAGATAGGATAGATGGGATGGATGGGATAGATAGGATTGGATCGATTGGATCGATTAGATCGATTAGATCGATTGGATCGATTAGGTTAGATTAGATTCGATTGGGTTGGCTTGGACTATATAGATTAGACAGATAGAAGATAGATAGTAAAAGGATTTAAGATAGAACATATGGAAATATAATTGAAATATATAGATAATTCATGATAATTCTAGAGAACATGTAGAGAGAACATGTAGAGGATTTGGAAGCCAGAAATGATTTATGGGTAGCCGGGTATAGCCATATTGAAATTGTTGAAGTATAGGTCCCTAATATTCCCGAATGGTCCCTAATGGATCAATGATTGTAACGACCAAAGAACAAGCAGGTGTAGACGCCAAATGCCCTCCTGAAAGCACCCATCTTCCATCCATGACCTTGTGAAGAATGGAATTTCTCTGAGCCTTGCCAAAACTTGCAGTGAATATTGGCCATAAGGCAACAACACTAAGATCGGCCACTAAGATTTGCACTGCTTTTGGAGAGTCGACAGAAGATCACCCCCTGAGACCTCCGATTCAAGCGAGAGCTTTGCCATGCTTTTCCCGTAGAAAAGTTTTTTGATGCCGCAAGCCTTTACGTGCCCGGTCTGCAGTATGCCTTTCTCAATGAGCTCTGCAAAAGGGATACACAGTGGTCCTCCTCGATCTCATGTCTGTAGGTGCCGCACGCTGGCTTCGATTTCAAAAGGCAAGTGGACACCTGGCGCATCGCTGCACTGCAACTGCTGCGCTCACTGTGTGCACGCTTTCACTTCAATCTCTTCTCCAGCACCTTGTGACTCTTCCAAGCGTCCACGATCGCCACCACGATGTTGCTGTACCTTCGCTAAACAATAGTAAAACATAGAGATATGTTCAATATTCAAATGGAACGGTTGCTCAAACGTTTTCTGGAACATCATCGAATCAGATCCTGCCGAACATCGATCAAATGTTGCAATGGCACTTGCTCAATTCCCTCCCAGACGGTGAAGAGACGATGACATACACATCCTTGGGACGTTCCCAAGAACGGTGAACAAAGCAGAATGAAATGTGAAGCTTCACAGGTCACAGGCTTCAAGGGTCCAAACAGGCTCTGACCTTGTGTCACCATGTTTCACCAGAATCTTAGCCAAGTTGCTGTGGTGGCTGGTGGCAGGCGATCCAAATGAACCTTGCGGCACGGCAACGCAAATGTCTTTTTCGGCTCCTATCAGCTATGTAACACAATGTATGCGAGTTTCCTTCCTTGCGGGCTCGATCAAAGTGTACACCAAAAAAACGGATGGCCAGCATTTCACGATCCCAACGCCTCAAAGAGACACTTCCCTGTGCGGGGCAACTCGTCCAAGAGCAAACCTTCCATACAACTGGCGGCTCAAAAAGTTTTTGAACTTCAAAAGCTGGACAAATCAAGAAGCGAAACAAAGAAAGACTGGTTTGTGGTTTCATTATGTTTCAGTTGTATTCCATAAATTCCATGCAATTCAGAAGCAATCAACTGGGGATCATCCCGTGATCGAAAACAAGGCCGGGTTGCACGCTTGGACCTGCGGTCTACGCCCGAGCGCCTCCATATTTGATGGCTCCATCAGCTGCATCATTTGAGCCCACCTCAACAAATGAGTTCAGCACTTCCTGAAAAATTAAGCAAGGAAAACACATGCCACTGTGGTCCAATGTGATTTCAACTGTGATGAACATGCCAAAACAACTTTGTGAATTTCTAGATTCTTATAGAACTTACAAAAATCTAGGTTCTGAGGCGGTGACAGGTCCAATCCACATGCCGTTGTAGTCAACCACGCCGTTGTGGACAATCCGAACCTTAGAGGATTGCTACGTACCTCCTTATCTACATCTGGTAGAGTTACTCCCATTCTGCTTGGCTTAAACTGATTTACAAACCACCACTTTGCATTTGGATGATAAAAATTCCACTTTAGGTTCAAAAGATCAAGCAAGCCAACATCCAGCACTTCACAAGCATCCTGTGTTCACTGTGATCACGACGCCGTGGGGGCCCCGATAATCCACGATCTGCTGTGTCAGGCTTTCAACGAGACAAACTTTTGCATGAAAGCGACCAAACATGATCAAACAGTTGGCATTTGAAATGCTGCAGACACATCTGCGTGTACGTGTTAATTATGCAAATTTCATGTGATTCTACACTGGTAAAACAGGGCAGTGTCAGGCGGGTATAGAACAGTATAGGTCAAAATGTTAAGCTCAGGGGACCTCAGATTTGGTCGTTCTTTTCTGGTATCCAATAGCTTTGGTGAACTTATTGGCCACACAAATGATCCAATATCTGCTTTCCAAGAACGACTATCACAATTTAATGTGATCCATGTTATCAGTGTTGTCCATTGCTATTGCCACATTTTATAAATTTCAGTGGGATACCCATGGGTACCCAATGACTTGACCCGTGCAATCCATACCATCCATACCTGCATTCCACATCGCAGGGCCGCCTCCTGCAGACTTCGCCCTGCAAACGTCACCAACGCTCCGTCCTCAGACATGGCAACATCGGATGACATCGGATGACATCGGATGACATCGGATGACGTCGGATGACATCGGATGACATCGGATGACATGGGCATCAGCCAACGGCCCACTGACATGGAGCATTGATAAGCATTGTCAGCATCTTGGGGTGCAGTACTTGGACAAATCCACATTCAAGTAGTTCATATATTTTGAGTTTCCATAGTTTTCATATATGTTTTCATTCTCTTTTGAAATCATGATTGCTTTGGCGGATTGTCATGGTTTTCTGAATCTCCGCGAACCTGCACAACAGCGCTAGTGCATGAAGCAGTTTTGTTGATATTGCCCAGAAGTCCCGGAGTACAAACATTTTGAGCTGGAAAAAGAATCCGTCTCTCTCTCTCTATCCATTTGAAGCGCAGCACTCTGACTCTCAACTGTTGCAAGGATACTTGGGGTTGACAAGAAACTGGGGCCTACATCAAACTACGAAAAATATCGAAAAATGATCTATTTACTAAACTAATGGGAAACATGCTGACAATCCTTTGAGGTTTGGGGCAGTCTCAAAATTCCTACCCAAGCACTCAAGCTGGCTTCTCTACAAGTCCCAGCTGGGATCTCCGACTAAGTAGCTGTGGTCCTTGTTGTCCGTCCGTTTTACCTCACCGAATTGCCACTTCACCTCAGCACATCTGGTGCGGTCACGGCTGTGCAACTGTAGCAAGAGTGAATTTCAAAGGGAGGGTCTGCATTTCCTGGAGACAGCATACGTCTTCTATTTCCATCTATTTCCTTGTTATATAAATGTGTATGATTCGATGTTTGCTGTTGCTCTGATGCTTGCTATTTCGACTCCAAAGCTAGGCTGTTCTTTGCAGAGTCTGAAAATAGCTATATACATAATTTGGACTTCGATGCGCAGAAGTTGATGGTAGAAAAAATGTTCAGTTGTTTGTAGTGCAATTAGAAATAACATTATTATGATTTAAACCAAAGATTGATATATGATATCTATATTTTGTGTTGATGACAAGAACACAGTCATAGAACCAGCCCATCTTCTATTTATAATAAACATTATATTGTGTTGTTCTGCCCTTTGGTAAGTTTCTGTCACTCCCCGGACCGCAAGCCCAGGGCGCTGTCAGTGCCTCAAGAGCAAGCTCAACTTCTTTGTGGCAAGGACCTCCCAGAGAGATTGCTGGCAGCTTTGCTGACAGGCACCAAGGTTGGGAAGTCGGTCATGGTGGTCAACCTGTCTCCCTATGATTCCTGGTTGGAGCGTGTTTGCATGGAATGGTCAATTGGGAATCCTGATCGCGAGATCAAATCTCTCAGCCTGGGCTTCAGCTTAGCTACAGTCTCCTACTCGGAGAAACTATGTGCCATGCATCTCTTGGAGGACTGATTCTGAAAGAAATCTATTGAGTGGATTCACAATGTTTTACTATCAAGATATACCCAGGTGGCTGATGAACATCACTAACATGCTACTGATTCCTTTCATAAAGACTTCAGTTCATACACACACACACCCTCACATCATACAAACATATGAGGATTGGAAGTCAGATTGCTTGATCCTGGGACCCAATGTTCGTCGATGGGACCCGAATCCACCAGCTGAAGAAGAGCTAGACCTGAACAACATTCAACTGAAGATGGCCCAGCTTTCGAGGGATCCTACCAAGAAGGGCTGGCAATCCTTCCAAATCTCTTTGAGCAACGAGGTCCGAGCTCTTCATCTCAGTGATCCTTTGAATGCCCCAGCCTGGAAGGATCTCATCACGGACTTTGACAAGAAGCCACTTGGTGCAAATCTTCAAACCTGAGCACAATAATCGTTAGGACTTTCAGTGACCTGGTGTGATTCAGGTTGATTCCATGAGGTGGCAAAACATCTTGAAATCCTGGAATAATGTGTGGAATTGTGTTATGTATTGCATGCTAAGAGCTTCCTTGGATCAATAGCTACAGTCCCAAACCAAGCCGAATCTGAATTCAGTTAGCTTGCAGGTTTTGTGGGAACATGGTCACCCAATCGACAGCCCTGGTGGCATCAGAGGAGGATGGGGATGAGGTGAGTAAGGAACCTGAGCCCTGGGTGTCAGAGCCAAAATTGCTGTCCGCCTTGATGGATGAGTACATCATCGAAAACAAGTTCCCAGGGCGTGCCCCTGGCACATCATTGTATGTTGTTCAGGCACGCAAAAGGAATGGAGAAACCACTGAATGCTTGGAAGGGCAACACTTGAAGTTTTTCCTGGTTTTTTATCTGCACCCAGTCCCATTCGTTTGATATCAAAAAGAGTAACAGGTTATATTATAGTCATATTATTATTACATAAATGTTATGTCTCATCCTCTACCCGACTGAAAATGCTGAGGCTCATGTTGAATCTAATTCAGCAGATGAGACTGATGCCTCCATCGCTATCAACAAACTAAGGTTGCACACCAGGATGTCGACGTTGGCGACAACGAGTGCCAGATTTGCCATGGTAAGAGCACTTTCTTGAAACCAGAGAAGGTGGCCACGATGCAACGTGAACATACTGGATCAGGCTAGATTGCAGCCATATACATTCGATACCATTGGGACATCATTGGGACATCTTTTCTGCTACTATGAAGCTAATAAAGTCTTGTATCTAGATGTATCTAGTATGGCTTTAAATCAAAAATACTTCTTGGAACTGTCGTGCTCTCTTACTTGCCCCTTCCCCGACAAGTGACAGCTCAGAAGTTCTTGGGTCCCTTGCACTCGTGGCTTGTGTCGTCGCTGGAGCGGCACCACAACGATGCAGTGCTGCGGGTGGTGCCACGACGGGGAGGACCTGGGGGCTGTTGCGAACGGGATTCTGTTAATGGATTTTGATGATCACTATTGGGGATTGGTTAGTATATTGGGATACAATCATAATCAATCATATATCCGCCGACCCCGGCAGACGCAAGGGGGAGCGCGCCAGGGAATAAGACAAGCAAGTTTAGCCGCACCAGCAGCAAGAGCAGCGGCAGTGGCAGCAGCAGCATGTAGCAGCGGCAGGATTTCAGAACTAGCTCGTCCTTCAGAGGCACGGTGTTTTCCCCCCGGCAGGTGATTTTTTCGAAGCTGTTTTACTGCAGCAGCCGCAGGCAACAGAAGTTGTCGAAAAAGGTTGTTTTTCTAGGATTTCAGAAGAGACGTTAGGCAGTTTTTTGGCGTGGTTTTGGAACTAGCTCGTCCTTCAGAGGCACGGTGTTTTCCCCCCGGCAGGTGATTTTTTCGAAGCTGTTTTACGTGCAATCAGCCAAAAAGAGTTCATTCTAATGATATAACATTTGGCTATGTCAACTTTAGCTTGGGGAAGGGGAGCCCTTGGGACCGCTTTTGCTCCGTCATTGCATATGGCGCAGGGTAGCTTCAGTTTTTCGAATTTTGCGACCCTTTGGGGTCTTCGTGAAACGAAATTAAAATTTGACCGAAATTTTGCTGTTGGGGCAGGTTTTTTGAATTTTGTGCGATGCTTGAAAAGAGAAAGAAAGTACAGAAAACATCGCAAAAACTAGCGTTTTTGCTGCACTGCTGTGATGGGCTGCGGGGAGAAAGTTACAAACAAACTGCAAAAACAACGTGCTTTGCCGTTTTTGAATGACAAAGTATTGTAAATACAATGTTTTTGATCGGAAATCAAAAACCTGCGGTAAAAACGGTCTTTGGTTCATTTTTGGATAAGGATGAACACGAAAAAAATAGAAGACATCACGTATACCCGCGTTGTTTGCTGCTCTGCTGGTGCGCCGCAGAAAGAACATCACAGACAAGAAACTGCGACATGTTCTGTTGTTTTACCCGATGACTCTTCGCTACCCAAACAAAAACGAAGGTGTTCCTAAATGATTTTTCCACAGTTTTCCAAGTTCGATTGAAAACATATGGTATTTACAGTGTTTTCCAAAAAACTATCCAAACACGTTCCAAGGCATGGTTTTTCCGCAGTTGGTCCAGTTTGCGCCAGAAAAAACATGGTATTCACAGCCTGCCAGAAAAATAAACGCTGGGTTTTGCAAGTACCAGTGTTTTTTTCTTGGGTACTAGAGCGGAGGGACAATAAAACTTGAGGCCAGGGGGGAGGTACGAAAGCTAGCAGGGCTGGGGCAGGGTGGTAATCGTAAAGAGGGATTAGCAAGGTGAAGTCGGAATGCGGCAACGGGCTGTTTTAGGGTTGCAAAATCTATTGAGTCCAGCAAGCGAAAACTCCCCAATGCAATAATCGTCTCTCGCCAAGTGTTGTAAGCAAAAGAAACGCAATATCCAAAAAAAAACGCACCCGAAATGGAAGCCCAAATCTGCAGAAAGATGTTCGAGACAAAGCAACATATGTATGACGATGATAGGAATGATGATGAGGATGATGCTGTTGTTGATAATGATGATGATGAGGAGGAGGAGGACGATGATGAGGAGGAGGATGAGGATGGGGATGAGGATGGAGGATGAGGATGAGGATTTCATTGATGATGATGATGATGATGATACTGATGATGACGAGGAGGAGGAGGAAAATAATTATGATCATTTGGAAACCGGCAAGTTTCCGATGATGACTTTATAAAGTTGTTGGTTGGTTTACTGAACGTGACGTCCTGAAGATGAAATACTGAAGAGGACGACCCTATACCTGCAGGAAACCAATGGCCCAGCGGGACCCGGGGATGAGGATGCTGATCAACGACAAGGAGGACGAAGAGGACGAAGAGGATGATGAGGATGAGGATGAGGAGGATGAGGATGAGGATGATGAGGATGAGGATGAGGAGGATGAGGATGAAGATGAAAATGAGGATGATGACCCTCTATCGTACCAGCTTGAAATCTCCTCTCGGGGGAGGCTCTGGGGGGACCAGGGGGGATCGAAGCTGGGCCTGCCGGAAAGCTTCAGGGTTTCCAATAGTCCTGCTCCCTGCCTATTCCTTGCTAAAGCAAGAGCAACTTCAGCTAGCACAGCCAGCTTTCGTGGCTTGTCCAAAAATGTTCAAAGGCCAGCGTTTTTCTTAATGTTTGTTCAATGGAAACGCACTGTAGGTAACATCTTTTCTTTGAAGGAAAATGGAAAAACTGTGCAAATACCATGATTTCTTCAGGGAAAGCGGGGGGGGAACTGCGAGAAAAAAAAGTGCTTGAGATTATTTTCGACAGCAGTTGTCCAAAAAGAGTAGCAGCCTGGCTGTGGAGTGCGAAAAATCACCCCAAGGGAATCCTTGCAAGGGGTTCCCCCATTCCGAATGGAACAGCGCCCTTTTAAATCATAGTGGGCACTTTTACAGCATCCCATGGACAAAATGTGAACAGATCTCCCACCTATCTTTTTAAATGACTTGTGGCATGTGGTAAATTTTGATATTCACATGTTTGTTTCTCGATCTTTTTCTAAGAATCACAAAAAAATCATCATCACCAAAAACCAACATCAAAAACAACATGTTGTTTGAACAGCACCCTTTTGAATCATAGCAGACACTTTTACAGCATCCCATGGAAAAAGTGTGAACAGATCCCCCGCCTATCTTTTTGAATGACTTGTGACATGTGGTAAATTATGATCTTCACATTTTTGTTTCTCGATCTCTTCTCAGAATCACAAATAAGATATTTAATCATCACCAAAAACCAACATCAAAAACAACATGTTGTTTGAACAGCACCCTTTTGAATCATAGCGGACACTTTTACAGCATCCCATGGAAAAAATGTGAACAGATCCCCCACCTATCTTTTTAAATGACTTGTGGCATGTGGTAAATTTTGATCTTAACATTTTTGTTTCTCGATCTTTTTCTAAGAATCACAAATAAAATAATCATCACCAAAAACCAACATCAAAAACAACATGTTGTTTGAACAGCACCCTTTTGAATCATAGCGGACACTTTTACAGCATCCCAGGGAAAAGTGTGAACAGATCCCCCACCTATCTTTTTAAATGACTTGTGGCATGTAGTAATTTATGACCTTCACATTTTTGTTTCTTGATCTTTTTCTAAGAATCACAAATAAAATAATCACCACCAAAAACCAACATCAAAAACAACATGTTGTTTGAACAGCACCCTTTTGAATCATAGCGGACACTTTTACAGCATCCCAGGGAAAATGTGAACAGATCCCCCACCTTTTTTTTGAATGACTTGTGACATGTGGTAAATTATGATCTTCACATTTTTGTTTCTTGATCTTTTTCTAAGATTCAAAAATAGAAAAATCATCACCAAACTCAAAATGGTAAAAGGTGGCAAGGGCTTAATAGAGCGGTAAGCTGCACCCTCGTAGGTCTCTTTCAGGATCCCGCACCAAAGTCTGATAGAAGGCTGCGGCTCCGGGCAAACCCGCTCCTTGTCGGTGACGCGTGGAACTTGGACTCGCACTGCTTTGCGCAGACAATCCACAGGAAGGAGCCTTTTTGCTTGGGTACGGTCCCACACCGCTTCGGGCACAGCGCACAGAACAGCACCATCGATCTCGGTGATGGCAATGAGGGAGCATGGCGATCGGTCTACCTCGATCTGCAAGGCACCAATCTTATAGTCAAACTCAATCTCGTCTCCCGAGCAAAAAAATTGGCACGTAGGCCAGAACTCTTGGGATAGTCAGGCACCAAAGAACCCGCTCCACTAAGTGCCATCACCGCCGCAGCTCTGCCGGAAGATCCAGTCCAGCTTCAACCACAGCCAGCCTCGTCTCCTCTTTCGAAGGAAGGCCCACGTAGATTCAGCCGCTGATAGTGTTTTTCTGCAAGCACAGGGTGTTTACTTCGTTCCAAGTAAAGAAAATCTTTGGGGGATTGTAATC